CAAGTCACTGTCGTCTGATTGCTTTGCAAGTGTCACTATTATTTTACTCCTGCGTCTCTGACGCTATAAACTAAATGAAGCGAACTGCGACCACAACTCAAAGGAAAGCTTAGAAAAAAAGTATAAATTATACAAAACTTCAGAAACACTGGTTGTGACATTTGGTAATTCATTTTCGTTGTACGAGGAACCATTTTTGATTTGATTTTTTTCTCACTCATGTTTGTGTGTGTGTGTGTGTCTGGTTGTGCATAAAAAACAAGAAAGTTTCAATTCTGCTTCCACAGTGTAATAAAGATTTATAATAAAAGAAGCCAAAAATGAATCTCTTTTGAGTAAGGTTTAAAAGTAAGCTTGAAAGACATTCATTTTGGCCTGTCTGATTTTATAGATAGACAGAAAAGCAGACACAGTGGTAGGTAAATCTAAAAACGTTTTCAGCAGACAAATTCGTAGAGACTGTGTATATAAGCGGACTTGGAGGAATTTTAAACAACGCCTGTAAACACTTTGCACACAATCCTTCGTTAGTAGAATCCTAAACATTAACTTTAAGATGACAGAATTCATGGTTGTTAGCAAAAGAGACATACCAAGATTTCAGATACGTATTGGGGATGTTAAAATCTAGCAGATTGAGAAATCTGGTTAGTGCCAGCAAATAGTGACGGAAAGTGTCATAAAAAAATCCCAAGGTGCATAGGAATGGCGAAAGTTCCTTCTTCTATGGGCCGTGTCCCTTTAGGGCGTTGGCGATCATAGCTCTCCACAATTTCATCTCCTTTGTAGCACTTAATAAATTTTATACTGTTCATAAGTTGAACAACGGATAACCTCTCGCATTCCTTAGTTCCACTAGTTAAGACATATTCAACGAGTCCTCGCCATGCCACATACACAGAATCGAATCATCCTCATTATTTTTGTTAAGCAGGAAGTTCCATTCGGGCAGCTTCTTCTACAGAACTGTTATTTTGTGGAACAAGAGGATGCTCCCCTCATCACTACAATTTTTACTTCTTCACGTCTAGATTTAAACTTTATTTATCCTCATTATATGCATTTTTTAGTTCCCCCTTTACACAACTTTATTCAGCAACACTCTACTTTGAGGGGCTTTTGGGCCTTGTATTAAACGAACAATTGTATATAAAAAAAAAGAGATCGAGAAATATCCTTAGAAACAAACAGGAATGTAATATCTAGTCTTCTGTGCTGTAAAATATTGGACAATAAACCTATGGATGGGGAAGAGACTTGACGCGGCAGAGATGTGATTTTATGCTGAGAATACCATGGACAAAACATGTGACTAATGAGGAAGTTTTAAGGGAAATAAGAAAGACAAAGAAACTAATATTTACAATCAGAAAGAGGTAGCTGAATTTGTATGAGACATCACGAGGAAAGAGAGCTTGGAGAATTTCAGGTTCCCAATAAATAGTGAAGGCATATCTGAGTGAATCGACGGTAAAACAAAGAGAGATGGTAAAGGGCAGGACCGGTGCGTACTACTCCCGAACCCTCTTGAAAGCCTGATTGGAGGTTCCGGACAGTGCTTTGTGAATTTCTCTATTTTATCAACATTTGTTTTTATCTACCTACATTTATATAGGTTACAAATTAAAGTAAGCACACCTGACTATTAAAAGATGAAAAATGTTCGCGAATTTTGACGTCATTATGGGGGGCTTTTTTTCTTTGTCCAAATCTATGAATTTGTTTTGCTCCTGCTAAGTCTCGAAAAAAAAAACACTATGTAAAATTCACTATTTTTTATTCATAATGTTGAATTTATTAAATTCTTTAACTTTTTAACAAGAAAATTCTCAAGAATTGCCGCAAAATATTGTTGATTTATTTTAAGATGTAATGATTTTGACATGTCTCTAATTTGTATTTAGATACGTTGTATTTATTTTAAATATTTTTAGTTGAATTGTACACCTATATTGTTTATGATCCATTATTGTACATAATTAAGTTACAATAAAATTTGCATCTTATATGAATACAATCTTATGAAAATTGAGATGTAGCAAAGTGGGGGGGGCGTAACACAGATTCGTGATGGGGGTGAGTCTCTTGCACCGGCCCTGATAAAGGGGTAAAAGTTGGGACAATAAAAGGTAGAAAGTTGAGGAGAATATTGCTTTTCCATGTCCTGAAAGAACAAGGCATAATTCTACGTCCTTGTTCTGCCAACTGTTTAATTTATCTTGGATCTTTCAAAAAAAAACAAAACAAAAAGAAACTAACAACTGGTTTCTAATGTTTCATTTTGACGTGTTTCAGATGTTAGGGATTAAGTCTTTCGTTTTATTTTATTTATTTTGTGTATGGAACTGTAAGAACTGAAGATATGTCAAATATTGACCCCGGTATCCGAAAAAGAAAAAAAGAAAAGATGGTTTCTCCATTGACACCGCTATTATTTTAACTATCTTCACTCCCTCGGCAATATCTATTGATTATAAAAAAAATTACTTTTTATAAAGATTTATTATTTACCATTTTATAAAGAAATAAATGTAAAAAGAAATTTTTTTATTCAAAAATTTAAAATAATTCTTTCCATACTTGTTTCTTTATAAATTGATAAACATTAGCATTGTATTAGTTGGTTCGCAGTTTAAGAATATAAATAGAAAATAAGTCATCGCTTTTTAAAACAACAAACATTGCCGAGGGAGGAGTGAAAGTAGGTAAAATTGGTAATTAGTCGATGTTTTACATTGTAGAAGGCTTACAATTATGTATTTTAATAATTTTAAACATTAAAAAAAAAAGTAAAAATATTTTTTTCACATTTATTTCTTTATAAAATGGTAAATAGTAAATCTCATAATCTTGTAAATAAACATTGCGGAGGGAATGGACGTAGTTAAACTAATAGCGGTGTTAATGGAAAAGCTTTCCTTTTGAAACACGTTTTTTTTTTTTTTCTTTTTTTGCTAGCAACGTTTGATGAAGATATATTTATCTATCTTTCTGTCTGTAGGAAGGCTTAGTGGTAGAGATAGGTTGGTGCCGCTTTAGCGTGTGTCCTACTGATCAGTTTCTGCTTTAGTGTATGTCCGAACCACTACATTTGTATTCTACATTATTAAGGCATTGTCCTGACTTTTTTCTCGATATGTTAAAAGACATTCAAAATATATTTATTCAAAGGATTCAAATATCTTGTTCTATGATTTTTAGCCAAATATCTTATGTTCTTTTTTTATTTTAAATTTTATAATACAACAATAAATGGCATCTCTACTTCCGTTTTTGCTTTTCCCCTTCCGTTAGATAATTTAGGATACAAATATGGCGGTAGGATACACTGAACGGTAGAACAAACGTTTGTTGATTTTTGCATGGGAGGAGATCGATCATTTTCAAATATTCATATTCAAGATAAGCAAATTTTCCTCTGGCAAACGTGTAAAGACCTACACGGACATACATTAGCGCATACAGGCCGACGCGGACACACATCGACGCATATAGACTGACGCGGTTAAGTTAAATAGTTATAAATTATAAGTTATAAGTTAAATGCAGAGTTAAATGGACACACATCTCACTGTATATAGATCTATATAGACGAGCATCGGCGCTTACAATTAAGCATACACGCAATCAGACCCTGAAATAAAGGCACACAGAAACATGTCTTAGTGTAGATAGAGACATGGCTCGAATGGAACGTGGCACAAAATAGATTTTTAAGTAGCAGTTTCGGCACGTTCATGGGCACAAAGGATAAAATTAGTGCGATCGGCATTGTCCCTTTTGGGGACACCACAGGTGCCTGGAATTAACACTATGTCTTCTCTGCGGATAAGGTACTGTCCGTGTAGACGCCTATCTGGGTCTATATCAGCGTAGATATGTATGCATAATAGATAGATCAGTAGATACGAAGAGAATATAAACAGACTGGGATAGATAGATAGATAGATAGATAGATAGATAGATAGATAGATAGATAGATAGATAGATAAGGATCAAATATAGATCAAATATGGATCAGTATCAGAATGATAAGATAAAGAACAAATAGGAAACGTTTATCAATTTAACATGTTTCTTTATTTACATTATTCGGACTATTGTCCTCATCTTTGTCGCCAAATTTATCACAACGTTTCAGCTGTTGTAAGCTCCGGTCTTCTTCAGGTGGTTGGAATGACGAACCGAACCCTTTATTTCGCTCACTGGGGTAGACTGTTCTAGTTCTACGTGCCATGTTTTTAAACGGATGTCAGTTATCAGTTATCTCCTGTTAATTTTCTCTCTGAAAGTTCTCCACTGCCTTAGCCGGGTATTGAACTCACACTCTTTGTGTTATGTCACTGGATCTAACCAACGCCCTTATCCACTGTGCCATGTGTCCTTGAGGACATCTACCCCAGTGAGCGAAATAAAGGGTTTGGTTCGACATTCCAACCACCTGAAGAAGGCCGGAGCGTTCAACGGCCGAAAGGTTGTGATAAATATGGCGACAAAGATGAGGACAATATTCCGAATAATGTAAATAGTGTACATAATACCTCATCTCAGAAATATAGACTAACATGTTTCACTTTTATTAAAGTTTTAAAGCCAGAGAATGGGATATGAAGAAAAAGAAGAACGGAATTCTGGTATATTTTACTTTGGTGTTGTTTGATTTTCATTGGTTAATCATGTTTCACGTACCTATAAACACATACCGTACCTATAAACACTAATGGGCATGTCCTAATCCTCATAAATACATTGGAAACTATTGTAAGTGGGGGTAATATGCTGTCTAAGTAGTCCACCAATAGCAGTGGTTTACCTATTTCACGCCGCTGGCGAGTATTGTATTTTATTGATGTTATAAAGATTACCACTTCATTTCCAACTTCCGTTTTGATTATTTGCCATTCAGTAACCTTTTCCAAGTTACGACACACGTACATCCGTCTTTTTAAACCAAAGTTAGTATAATTTGTGGCGTTCCGAATTCAAGGAGAGACAAAGTTTCAAGTAATTAACATTTCAGTGTAGATAGATAGATAGATAGATAGATAGATTTCTTTTCTTACCTTTCCTGAAGTGGAAATGCCTTTCCACATACTGAAATAACAAATGATGTATACTCCCATCAAACAGAGGACCATCTCCCACTTGAGACGTCCCACTGAAAAGATCCCATCAGACTCGTGTAGTTCCAACATTTTACGTCTGTGAAAAAAGATTAAGAAATAAAAAAAATAAAGGAAAAAAAAAGAATCATTTTTTGATAATTATCCAATAAGTAAATGTTAATATATCCCGTAATATCGTGTGTAGGATGATTAATAAAAACAAACGAATACTCATTCCGTCTAATGATTACACACACAGCGGGACAGCATCTGTAACGGTCTTTTACGATAGGACTGCATTGTAAATGGTTTTACTATTGGAATATATTGCAAATGAATTTAATATAGGATTGTATTGTAAATGAGTTTACTATAGGAATGCATTGGAAATGGTTTTATTATAGGAATTCATTGTAAATGATTTTACTATAGGAATGCATTGTAAATAATTTTACTATAGGAATTCATTGTAAATGATTTTATTGTAAAAATGCATTGTAAATGATTTCACTATATGAATGCATTGTATATATAGGATTGCAAAGTAAATGTTTTTACTATAGAAATGTATTGTACTTGATTTTATTATAAAATATACTGTAAATGATTTTACTATAGGAACGCTTTGTAAATGATTTTACTATAGGAATACATTGTAAATGATTTTACTATAGGAATGCATTGGAAATGATTTTACTCTCAGAATGCATTGGAAATGATTTTACTATAGGAATGCATTGGAAATGATTTTACTATAGGAATGCATTGTACATGATTTTACTATAGTAATGCATTGTACTTAATTTTATTATAAAATGTGCTGTAAATGGTTTTAGTATAGGAATGCATTGGAAATGATTTTACTATAGGAATGCATTGTACATGATTTTACTATAGTAATGCATTGTACTTAATTTTATTATAAAATGTGCTGTAAATGGTTTTACTATAGGAATGCATTGGAAATGATTTTACTCTCAGAATGCATTGGAAATGATTTTACTATAGGAATGCATTGGAAATGATTTTACTATAGGAATGCATTGTACATGATTTTACTATAGTAATGCATTGTACTTAATTTTATTATAAAATGTGCTGTAAATGGTTTTACTATAGGGGAATGCATTGGAAATGATTTTACTATAGGAATGCAGTGGAAATGATTTTTCCTCTAAAATGCATTCTAAATGTATTATGGCCATGTCATGTTGAATCACCGCTTTCAGTCCGATCACCAAAGTTATGCAACATCATGCCTGGTTACTATCTAAATGGGTGACCACTTGGGAATATCAGGTGCTGTAAACTTAATGTTTAATGACTCGAATTCTAACCGAGTTCAATTCATTCACTTAGGTGAAAATACCGTTGAGAGAGGTGTGAATCCCTCTCTTCTTATTGCACTTATGAGTTAAAAATCAGGTTGATAAGTAGCCTACCGCAGAAAGTAAGAGCCGCTTAAGGTAGCAGGAATTCTGCCATATCAATCATGAATCGAAAAGAGAAATGATCACTGAATCAGGCATCACTGATGACACATAAAGGAGGAAGTAATCGAGAGACTCATCGAGTGACTCACTGCACCTTCTTGGCCTAACATTCTCAGCTGATATGAAATGGAAAGATTATATTGAATCCATTGCTAGGTCTGTTAGTAAGAAAGTCGGTCCACTGTGTTGGGCTGGATAGTTTTACTCCCCAGAATCTATCCCACATATATATAAGTCTACCATTTGTCCAAGCTTTGAATATTCCGTTGCTTCTGCTGTATATTTAGAGATTCTTGGTAAAATCCAAAGAAGAATCAGAAATATTATTGGTCCTGACCTGTCATCTCGGCTTCAGTCACTTTCCCACCATCGTAATGTAACTTTCCTGTGCATTTTCTATAAAAGCTTTCGTGGTAATTGTCCGGATAAACTCTTAGGATTGTGTGTGTGTGGGGGGGAAGTTATTACTAACATCATTTTATTTGGTTTCTTGTAAATAGTTTTGTTTTCATATTGTAAATACTCATTGTGGCTACTTTTTAAATTTCGACCAAAAGTAGCACTGAATGCTCGGTCAGTGAATACCGAATGTTTCCTTATAAGGAAACGGCTAATATTGTTATTACCATTCTGAAAGCGCCATATAGCTGAGTTTTCATCCCCCAGATCATGTTGATTTTGATCTCCAGGTCTTCGTGATTGGGCAGAGTCTCGGTAACGTTTTCTGAAGATGGTTCTTTCAGATAGTATTGTTATGTCAGCGCTCCCCCTCCCTTTTTATTTTTTTTACTTAAACTTGATAAGAAATTCGGTCTAATTAGCTTTCCTCTCTTTTCCTTCGTGGACAGTCATTTTGCAGAGGACGGTGATATTCTCAAAGGCTGATGTTCATAGCACTTGACAGTTGTTTTGATTTTCAAACTACTGCAGATCTTCCAGAACAGCTAAACATGAATTGAGGCATTTGGGAATGAACGCTTTCTTCGACAATTCTGCGCAAGCTGACACAATGCAGTCGATAGTCTCTTCACAAGTCTTAATGGTACTCCATTATTATTATTATTATTATTATTATTATACACTGGAGTTTATGTCACCACAATACTGCAGCATTACTCCCAGTATTTTGCTCTGTTAATGGGGTTTAGAATAGACTGGCTGAATTCACTAGAGAGGTTTACAGACCACTTCGAAATGAGGAAAACTTTTGGATGGATACTTGCAGACACAAATATACACTTAAGCCATGTTTCCCTTTTTTGAATCTCGTGCAAACCGGACCTATATCTACCTTCTTGACTCTCGTCTAAACCGGGCATATGTCTACATTTCTGACTCTTGTGAAAACCGAGCCTCTGGTTACATTCTTCAGTCTGCTATAAGCTGTACCTGTGTCTAGAATTTTGAATCTCATGTAAACAAGCCCTATGTCTACCTTCTTGACTCTCGTCTAAACCGGGCCTATATCTACCTTCTTGACTCTCGTCTAAACCGGGCCTATATCTACCTTCTTAACTCTCGTCTAAACCGGGCCTATATCTACCTTCTTAACTCTCGTCTAAACCGGGCATATATCTACCTTCTTGACTCTCGTCTAAACCGGGCATATATCCACATTTCTGACTCTTGTGCAAACCGAGCCTCTGGCTACCTTTTTCAGTCTGCTATAAGCTGTACCTGTGTCTAGAATTTTGAATCTCATGTAAACCAGCCCTATGTCTACCATTTTGACTCTCGTACAAACCGGGCCTATATCTACTGTTGTGACTAAGTAAATGGTTAAGTAATAACAAAAACCAGGTTAACAGATATATGGTATATTAAACAGTAAGTACACTAGAAGAGTATTACATGACTGGTGAGTGTGTGTCGTATGAACCAGCGCTCAATCTATTCACTGCTCACTGTACCCCGAACCTTCTTTCCTGCTAAGCTTATTGTAGGGGGAAGAGTCTAATATAAACTCTTAGAGGGAGGACACCACAGCATCTACCTTCTTAACTCTCGTCTAAACCGGGCATAGATCTACATTTCTGACTCTTGTGAAAACCGAGCCTCTGGCTACCTTTTTCAGTCTGCTATAAGCTGTATCTGTGTCTAGAATTTTGAATCTCATGTAAACCAGCCCTATGTCTACTGTTTTGATTTCGTGCAAACCGGGCCGATGGTTACTATTTTTCTCTTGTATAAGCTGGACTTCTATCTACTATTTTGACTCAAGTGCAAACCAGGCCGATATCTACCTTTCTGATTTTCGTGTAAACCGAATCTATGGCTACCTTTTTGATTCAAGTATAAGCTGTATCTGTCTACCGTTTTGACTCTGGTGCAAATCGGACCTATCGATACCGTTTTGATTCTCGTGAAAACCAGACCTATAGACACCTTTTCGACTCAAGTATAATCTGCACCTATGTCTACCTTTTTGACTCAAGGGAAACCGGACCTATGTTTACTTTTTGACTTTCGTTTAAGCCATACCTATATAATGTATACCTTTTTGAGTACTGTAAGCCGGGCCTACGTCTTCCTATTTGACTCTAGTGTAAACCGAACCTATTTCAACCATTTTGATTAGTGCAAACCGAACCCATGTCAACCTTTTTGACTACTGCAAGCTGAATCTATTTTTTTCTGTTTGTGCCTCTGGTTATTCTCCAAATGTAGCTTATTATTCTTATGATTACCTTTTTTAATTAGCGTAAACCGGGCCTATATGTACTTTTTTTGGCTCTCGTGTAAGTCAGACCTACATCTACCTTTTTGCGTTTCTATCTATTCTCCGAAGAAAAATTATTATTTTTTATATCTACCCATTTCACTTGAGTGTCAAACAGACCTATGCTAACTTTTTTGATTTTTGTGTAAGCCAGACCTAAGGCTTCTTTTCTCGTCTCTACCTATTCTCCAAAGATGAAATATAATTTGTTATGGACAATTTTTAAAATCTCGAGGAGGCCGTCTTAACACGTAAATTTAAATAAAGCCTCCACAGCCAACGCTAAGAAATATTTTGATGACAATAATGGAAATAATTCAGCAAAATAAACCAATGATTTTAAATGATGATGACGGTGAAAAAAAAATCAAGAATTTTTTTTTCTGATGATATTAAAACATTAGCTTATGGTTAAGCACATTTAATGTATTTCATGAACAATGAAATTTAAATATTTAAAGCAGCGGTACCTAAACATTTTTTTTCTCTGGGCCGCATTTTCGGAATAAATATTTTCTCGCGCCTCACCAAATTTTATGTGATAAAAAGTACATTTAAAAATAAAAAAATACAGAGAGAGTGTTAAAGGGAGATAACCGCAGATCCGAAATCAGAAAATTATCATTGATAACTATCTCCTCTAATATGCAGAAACTAGTTACTATATTCTTAATACTTGATATAATGCAAAAATATCACAGTGATAAAATCAGTCAATAATTATTTATAACTATTTATACTGGGACTCTTGTAATCCATAATAATATTTAAAATTTTGAAATCATATTTATTTCTGGCATATGAATTTTTAAAAACTGTTTCTAACTCTTTGATTGTCTTTTAAGCATTCCGCTTCACCTGCTATCCTTTTCCACTGCCTCTATG